CGGCTTCTGAAATTAGAAAAAAATGTAGGGCGGGGCTTGATTCCGTCCTTCGGGAATTGATTGGATCGTTGGAGGTTGGGAAACGAGACAGACCTCAATTGCCACGCCCTCTAGTAATAGTTGACCGGAAGAGAAGAGAAGTCGTTTCGAGGGGGGAGGGAAGGGTAACGTATTTGATTAAAGATTATAAGGGTACATGAATTAAAAAAAAATAATGAAGTGCACAGATAAATCATTTATAATAAACACTACAATATTACATAATAAATACGAATGGTAAAATTTGATTTCATGACGACTTAAAAAAAAAAAAACTTGGGCACTCTTTGTGCCACCCCACTGTTCTAAACTATCAATAAAAATAATAATACAAATAATAATAATAATGAAAAACACATATAACCTGCTTGATTACATTATATTGGAAAGGGGGAGCATTGACAGTTCAGGGGTCTCATTTATAAAACTGTGCGTAGAATCCTTACTAAAAGTGTACGTGCGTCCGAAAGCCAAAAATGGCATACGCAAACAAATATTCTGACTTATAAAACCGTGCGTACGCCAGAACCAGCGCAGAATTCACTTTATAAATCCCATTCAGCGGAAGATTGTGCGCACATGCGTCTCCTCCCCGAAACAACCATATGTGGAGCTTACAACACCTAGTTTTACTATGCATATCCTCATCTGCATATCATTTGCATATGATTATTCATCCATGTGATAACATGTTTAACGGTACAAGACATTTGGAAAATATGAAATACGGATGTGTCGTCACATTAGTTACATTAATAAAAAATAATTTAGTAGTTTTTCTCAATCTTTTCCTCTGGCCAAAGAGTATTTTTAATTGATTTATATTTTTAATGGAAACAGATAGACCTTGTGAAACTATTTTCTCAGACAATCTGCTATTATCATGATAAGCAATTATCTCTGTAGTTAAAACATTAAAAACACAGCATGCCAGAGGAAAAGTGTTTGAAAGCATTGCATCCACAACAAATATTTCTATTTATTGAATATAAAAAAATGTTGTAACTTCTCAGTAATGATTTCATGTAATTTAAGTGTCTAACTCCATTCATCAGAATGGCGTATTTAATCTAAATGTTTATATCAGAAGTAAAACATAGTTTTATTTATTTAAACTGTTATTGTGAACATATTTCACAAAACACTGTATTTATGATTATAATGAAGATTTACGGTTTTAGATAGGCTGCGTCAGTTTCACTAAAGAACAAAGGGATGGATATTTAACAAAGAGATGGACATTTAAAAAGGGATGGATGTGTGCTTCATGTGATAGGCTTGGTGAGTGAAATTATATTTGTATTATCTTTCTGTATACTGTATGTATAATTTTCTTTATATTTTCGGTCTAAAAGTGACCAAAAAGAAATTTAGCTCCAGCTCACCATCGGTGCCGCCAAACTGCTCCGTCTCCGAAACGTGTGTACGCACGGCTCAAAGTTTGCTTAAAGGTGCGCACATTCTCCCGTCAAGTTTGTTTTTTATAGATCACAACCTTTGGAAACTGGCGTACGTACGTTTCCAGCCTCGTTTTGTGCATACGCACGCTTTATAATGGAGACCCCAGGGGCCTCATGTACAAAGACTTGCGTTGAATTCATTCTAAAACATTGCGTACGGACAAAGCTGTAAATGTGCGTACGCACAAAAAAAAGCAGATGTATGAATCTCTGCGTACGAAGGATCCCACGCATATTCTCTTTGTACATCCCAATTAACGTAAAATTGAGCGCACATGCACGAGCACAACGCCCCACCAAGTCTCCTCCCCCAATTAAATTAATTTAAATATGGTAATTAGTCCAATTTGGCAAAAGAAACCTGCAAGAACATGGCTAAAGCAAGCAAGAAACGAAATTTCACTGAAAACGTCTTCTATGTGAATATACAGTAAAGTGTAATTTATTCCTGTGATCAAAGTTGAATTTTCAGCATCATTACTCCAGTCTTCAGTGTCACATGATCCTTCAGAAATCACTCTAATATGATGATTTGATGACCAAGAAACATTTTTGAGTATTATCAGTGTTGAAAACAGGTGTGCTTCTGCTTCATATTTTCGTGGAAACCGTGATATAGTATTTTCAGGATTCTTTAATGAATAAAAACTTAAATCAAACAGATATAGAAATCTTATAATCTTTTGTAACATTATAAATGCATTTACTCTCACTTTTAAACTAATTCAATGTGTCCTTGCTGAATAAAAATATTACTTTCTTTTTTTATCTTTACTGACCGAATTAATGAAGTTTATTTTTTATTCCTTAAGCCAACGCTGCCATTGCTAGACGGGTTGTATCAATTTGGACATTTATATATGTTCTTACTTAATTGCATAATAGAATATTTTTATAAAACTCGTGTGACAATAATATGTCAAATAATTTATCAATTACAAATTATAAGCAATATCTGACAGCTGGTGGTGCGATAGAACAATTCGTAGTGTAATGTTTGCCAGTTCACTTTATTGCCTCTATGAGTCGCCAACGGACAAAAATCACGACAAATGTACGTACGCCAGACATGAAGTTTACTTGGAGGAACGCACATTCTTACGTTAATTTCACTGTTAGTACATCTGGCCGTGAACGTGAAAGCTGACGTACGCCGTGTTTTTGTGCGTACGCAGTGTTGATACATGAGGCCCCAGGAGATTCATTTGCATTTTTGCAAGGGTGCAAGTAATACTGAGAGAGAATTTATAATTGTCAAGCAGGTTTCATTTCATTATTGTACATCATAATGGTAATCCAGTGCTGGAATGCAAACAAACAAGACCCTTATCACCGCAGCAATTTTGGTATTTTACAGTAAAAAAAAAAAAAAAAAAAAAAACACAGAAAGGAAACCCAATACATAAATATTGACTTTGTCCTGCTGATCTCTACTATTAATCTATCCTTTGCCCTACAAAATCCCAGGAATGAGAGCAGCCGAGGTAGAGTCATTGTAGTAGTGTCATTGGTGTAAAGAGTACATTGTAAATAAAGATCAAAAGCGTCTCCACACTCCACTGACACAGTCGCTCAACCAGCTCTCACAGATTCATTCAGAGCACAGCAGGCAAGTTTGTGTTCATGCAGTTCTCCTTCGTTCCCCCTCAGTTTTCTTTTTCATAGTTTCCATTCTACATACCAACTACTACACAGGCCACTGGTCTCCCTAAAATAAGACATGTTGACTCTGCTGTTGCCTACAAGATGACAGGGTTTAGTTTAGCCTGATCCGGTTAAGCTGATAAAACAATTGAACAGAACAGAAACCGAAAGACATTACCATTCGAACAGAAGCTGAGCAGGTTCCTTTTGTTTGAGGATTAAATGTGTAAAACTATTGTGTTTGAGAAGACAACATAGTTATGCTAAGTAAAGAAAACAGGGCAGTTCACAGTGAAACCAAAATAACCAGAGCAGAAAACTATTGAGCTTTGCTGGGGGCGTTTAAATTGCAAATGGGGACTGGATCTGCTGAGTGAGGGAGGGGTGGGGGAGATGAGAAATTTCATAGACTTCCTCCTGTAATGCTTAATTACCTCTCTCCTGTACTCGAGGTAATCTTTAATCAGATGAGCACCATGGACTCCAAGGGGGTATATGAGTGCCCTGCAGCCGCCTCTGATAAAATTCACACACGCACAGGTTTGTTTTTCCACCATAGTGGGGAATTTCCATAGACTTCTATTGTTTTTTTAACTGAGCTAATGATATTTTGATTCCCTATCCACTACTCATGAGTCCTTTACTTCAAGAAAAAATTCAATAATGACTCAAAAAATGTCATGTGGTATTTAACCACTAGTACAACTTTTTCCTTATGTCTTAAATATATGTCAGTGTACACACAAATGTTTTTAAATATATTTTCAAGAATGTATCTTTACAAATGTCATGAGTTATTAATTCATAAATAATCTGTACAATTTTGGGGAGTCGCAACACATGGGATTTTGCAACCTGAACTTTGCAAGTTTCTTTTTATAGAGTTTTCTTTAATAAAGCTTTTTTTCTTCTTTGCAACATCATGAAAGCTGTACCACACTAACATTACTGACAGTTTTGACCCAAAAATATCAAAATAACTTTAACTCAGAAAGTAAAAAAAAAAAAGCTCATTATAAAATTATCATAAAGTCATTGTATTAATGTTATATATATATTTTTTTTTTTTATCATTTCTAATGTTTTTGAAAGAAGTCTCAATTTATTTGATCAAAGTACAGTAAAAACACTAATATTGTGAAATGTGATCTTTTTAAATGTAATTTATTGCTGTGACGGCTAAGCTGAATTTCCAGTCTTCAGTGTCACATGATCCTTCAGAAATCATTCTAATATGCTCAATAAATATTTGTTATTATTATTATCAATGTTGAAAACAGCTGCTGATGTTTTTTGTGAAAAACCATGATACATTTTTTACAGGATTCTTTAATGGGTGGAAAGTTCAAAAGAACAGCATTTATTTAAAAAAAAAAAAAAAAATCAATCTTGTGTTACATTTTAAATGTCTTTCCAGTCACTTTTGATCAATTTAATGTGTCCTTGCTGAATAAAAGCATTAATTACTTACTGACCCCAAACTTTTGAAGGATAGTGTAAACCTCTCTTTCTCACACTAACACACACACTGGCAGAAAGGATTCTACAGACTGAGCAGGTTAGTGCAGAGTGTGGTTGTTTAATCTGGGGCAAAGTGAAGTTTATTGAGAGTGCAGGATAAAGAGGCAAAGAGGGAGAAAGTAAAAGTAGGACTGTAAGTATGAAAGATGAAAAAGATGGAGCGATGGTATTGTGTGGGAAACCAGCAGAGGAAAGTAAAGTCAGGTAGAGGAGGGAAGGGGAGGAATGGGCTGAGGCAGGAGAGAAAGAATAAAGATAAGCACAGAAGAAAAGAATGCACACAGAACGGAGACGAGGGGAGGGAAGAGGGAGGGGCAAAGAACATGGCAAGGATACACATGAACTGCAGTCTGTTTTTTTCTTTAACACAGACACAGAAAGAGAGAAGCAGAGGGAGGAAGCTTCGGTTTTGCTCTTATCTCTCTGCAATATCACATTAAACCGTAAATTAAAAACAGAACGGAAGAACTGGATGCTAAAGGAGTGAGTACATTCATGACACAGAGAGCCAGGAAAGAGGGACACTGAAAAAGAAAGACAGACAAAAGACAGAGAGACTATGAGAACAATAAAATAAACACGGCGGATACACATTGGCAGAGTTTACAGGACCAGCTCTGACATCAGTGAAGTGAGAGAGGAAGAGGGGTGCAACATTGCTTTACGGAAACCGCTTGACAGTTTCATATACGCTGACACAGTCTAACAGACGCTTAAGAGAAACAGAAAGAGAAAGAGAGACAAAAGGATTAAACAAGTCTAATTTCAACCAAACCATGTTGATAAAAGAATACCGGATATGCATGCCGCTCACTGTCGATGAGGTAAGTTTGTAACTTTTTACATGTGTTTGGGTTTGCTTCCATATGTTTGTGTGTACTGCAGCTGTCCACATGATTAGTGTGCATGAAAGTAAACATTATCAAGATGTTTATTCCACTCTGTTTATGCAGATGAAACCTTAATCTAGCTCTGTGTATGTCTGTGGGCTGCATTTCATATTCTCCCTATTTCAGCCGTTTTCTTTACCTAAACGGGTCTGACCAGTTATGTATTTCCATTCCAACTTATTCACCTCAAGGCTAGAAACAAAACACAAAGGCCTTTCCAACAAACAGCTTGGGTTTCTAAAGAAGGGTCAGGGATTGTTTGGTCTATCTATGTTTCACCTTCAAGTAGCCCAACGTGTGCTCTTCAGATCAGACAAGCCCAAACAAGCACACCTGACCTAAAAGTCTGCCTTAGAATTCGTCTATGGACTACATCAGCATAGTTTCCAGACAGGAGCACCGCCCCCTTTTTCTGGAGAAGCTCTGTTGTGCGCACAGACAGCGTTTTTATGCTCCAAGATTCACAAGGTCTCCGTCGTCATCATCAGTGACAATGATTGTCGGAATGAGTATTCACATTAACAGCAGGAACATTGTCAGTGCTGCCAACCTGTTTTTTCAGGAGAATATGTGGAAAAAATTATCCTGAGACAATTTGTGCTCTTCAGGGAATATCAATCTTTAGGCAAAAAAAACAAAACATATTTCCATGACAGATCAAGCACACTATGACAATAACAATAGCTATGTTTCCACCCCCCTATTTGGTGGCTTCCCTGATTGTAGCAACTTGCATTTTTATTACAGATATTTTGCACCAATTTCCCAGGAATTTACCATTTTGTTCACTTGAACACATGGGATGGAAATGTTGCTTTTTTCGAAAACGTTTTATGCAACATTCCAATTTTGCGCAAAAGTTAAACTCACAACTTTGGATGGAAACATCGCTAGTGACTGTTTAGTATTTAAAAAAAGCTTTAAACTATTTTTTTTTTTTTACATTTCTCAGAATAAATTAGCCATAAACCATCATAATAGTACATATCACAACATATATTATCCAAAGATATTATATTACAGTAATAAATCAATGTTTGGTTGCAAAATGGCACATACAGAAATGTAATAATTTAAGAAATTTAAATGTAATTGAATTTATAGTTGATTTAACAAATCAAATTTCATTTCATAGATCATTATGGAACAAGCCATTATCAAAATGAATTGTATCTCTTTGTTAATAACATTTTTCAGAATAAATTTGCCATAAATTATAACGCTATCGTAATAGCAAATACCACAAAATGTATTCCAAAAAATATATATTAATATTAATATATATATATTATATTAATAATTAATGTCTGATTGGAAAATGGCACTGAAATGTAATACATTTACTTTAAATATTTAATTTATAGATGTTTCATTATATTTAACAAGTAACATTTTGTTTCATGGATCATTATGGCACAACACACAGTTTCCAAGAATGCCCTAATTTAAGTAATATATTAACAATAAATTGTATAATAATAATAGATTCACATTTTTGTCAATATTTCCTATTTCTGAAAAAAAAATGTGATGCACTTTTTTATTGCTGCATGGCAAAATTTAAATCTTGATTGATATGTTCATTTGGCATTATTGAACTTAAAATCAGTCAAAGCATACATATCAGAAAAAAAGTTGGCAGAATTAGTCCAAAAAAGTAAGTTAAGAATTTACGTTGTTGCAAAACTTGAGCTGGACAAAATAAATCTCTGTTTGAATTAAGTGAAAAAATACCCAAATATATTTGAATTACATTTACTTTATGCTAAATATACGACAAATACATTTACATACTTAAAACAAATACCCTGCAGTTGTAACTTTGGTAGGCTATACTAAATTAATATACTTAAAGTCTGCTAACTTGGAACAAATAAATTTGTATTTTAGTTATCTGGAAGTAGTGCTGAGGTCCAACTAAAGATATAATTTAGTATATTTGATTATGCTAAAATGTAACTATTTCAAGTAAACTTCACTATAAACATCTTGCATTTAAATTATACAGTGATCATACTATCCTTACTAATAGTGATATTAAAACACATTTTAGGCAATAAATGTGGATTGTGCAAAAACGTAGCACTCCAAAAAAGTTTAATTATAATATTTATATCAGTAAGTCTCAAGTGATATGTCAGCAAATCTGTTAATAGATGTACTATACTTGAAATTTTTCACAAGGGGAATTCAACTTCCTGTCATTCCAATTTAAATTCCAATTCAACATCCATGTGGAACGTAGCCAATTCAATTCACATTCCAAATTGTGAGCTGAAAGTGAGCCATTTCTAAAATTCTGGATTTTGCTCAACCTAGCTAAAAAGCAAGGCCAAAAAAAAAAAAGAGAGAAATGAAGCATGAGGTCACAAACAGGGGTCAGCCATTTCTCTCTCTCTCTTCCTTAGTACAAGATCGGCCAGTTATACATGATCAGCAAGCACAGCAGAGAGCAGAGCGGAGGAGGTGAAGGGGTGGAGGTCGTCCGTAATGAACCTTGCACAGACCACAAACACGGAGCCGGTCAGATCACAGAGAAACGCATCTACCTCAACAGGTGAGAGCGTGCACACTGCACACACACACATACACACACACACACGGGCAGTCATAAGCCATCCTGTTTTGTTCACGGTTTACATCACACACCTGCCAACGTGTCAGCGATCAGCTATTATTGATGACTGCAGCTAACACCTTTAAGCATGCAGCAGAGCTCCAGCCATCTCTCACTTTACCTCCAAAAAAACCCTTTCTCTCCCTTTTGAGCTTCAAGCTAAAATAGCAACATAACCGTCCTAAGGAAGATCACATTCAGTGATATCATCCCACGCTGTGAACATGCATACTTATTGTAATTGCCTGTTTTCTTATATTCTCACTCTCGCCCTACAAGGACAGAACAAACACACACACACACACACACACACACACACACACACACACTCAGTCATTAGATGCTGTTGTGAATATGAATTACTGCACCTCTAGTAGTAAAGCAAATTTTTCAAGCCATTAATGTGTTAGCAAAGACCAAAAGGGCAGAGCATTAGGTTCCTAATGGTCAAATAAATCTTATCGTGGAGCATGTGAGTCTAATCCAAATGCTGATATTACCGCAGACGAGATCATTATGCTGTTTACAAGTATATCATGCTGAACCGCTGCATTGTAATTATGAATAATTTAACTTGTATCGTCAAGATACGAGCGTCAAAGGATTGAAATGCAATGCAGTTGTTTGGTGAGAATGTGCTGTTCGGCGGGACACACTGTGGAAATGTCTGTCACTTCAGAAATGAGGATAGAGAGAGTGTGAGAACGCGCGGCCACATCCGTGGCGCTCGACACAACTGGCTGACCGTGAATGATCTACATCTTCTCTTCTCCGCCCCTCTCTTCTCATCCTCTGTCCATTCATCCATCACTCAAGTCCTCAGGCTGTAAATCTCAAGCGCTGTCTGTGCTGCCTTATCTTACAGTGCTGAGTTCATTATCTCTCTCTGGGTTTTTTTGTGAGGGACAGATGGCACCAGACACCTCTGGAAGTGAGACTTATAGCTATTGTGGCGGCTGCCTGACCTCTCACCCCTGCACATTCACATCTACAGTGGCCCCAACAAGAAAGTATCTGGACACTTAAGACAAACTTGAAATGATTTTCATTAAACAAGACACAAAATATCAAAACAAAGGGCAACTGCAAACAAACAAAGTCATTTTAGCCAACAATTGAACAATGTACATTGCCGTTCAAAAGTCTGGGGACGGTAGGAATAAAAATACAGTAAAAACATTCAATTATACAATTTAAAATACCTTTTCTATTTTAATACATTTTAAAATGTCATTTATTACTGTGATGGCCCATTTTTGAGTGGAAGGAAAAACATGCTGTATTCGTTAATGTAACTTTAAATGCAAATGAGCTGCTGCTCCCCACCCTGCTTTCCAGAAGAGGGCGCCGCCTTTAGAACTTGTGCCTCCGATACTCTGACAACAAATAAAACATCCGTTTGGTTTTGATTATCATCTCGAATGCGGTTTAAACCCATATCAGTCTACACTTGATATATGGTTTTCTAAGTGCACACATCCGAAGCACACGCACAGAAAGCTGGCTGTCAGACGGTGCGCCCCGTGAGTATTATTAAACCGTTCTCTATTGTGCTTAAACTGTTAAATGCACACAAGGTTATGTCACATAAACACAGTTCGTTGTCTGTGAACGTAAACAGCAAGTAAAGAAATCACATGTGTATATTAGATCTGTGTATTAAAGTGAAAACAGCGTAAAATACAGTACCTACTGCTATAAATGCTGTTAATATGTATCAAACAACAAAATAAAAACAGAAAATCACTCGCTGCATTTAAAGGGATAGTTCAGCCAAAAATGAAAATGAGCCCATGATTTACTCACCCTCAAGTCATATATGACATTCTTCTTTCAGACGAATACAATCGGGAGTTTTATTAAAAAATGTCCTGGCTCTTCCAAGCTTATTAATGGCAGTGAATGGCTGTATATTTTTTCAAGTCGATCAAAGTGCATCCATCCATGATAAAAGTGTTCCACACGTCTCTAGGGGGTTAATAAAGGCCTTCTGAAGTGAAGTGAAGTGATGTGTTCGTGTAAGAAAAATATCCATATTTAAAACTTTATCGACTAAAATAACTAGCTTCCGGCAGACAGCCAACGCAAGTCGACACCGTTAATTATTAACATTTAACACATTATTCAAATCAAATGTATTTGTACTGCACTTTGAAGTAACATGAACAAACAACAGCTGTATTTTTATTTACTAAAGTTATCAATGATAAAAAAAATACAGTAACAAATGTATTGCTCAAGGTTAGTTCATGTTAGTTAATACAGCAAATAATGTTAAAAAATTAAACCTTATTGTAAAGTGTTGCCACATTTCTTATTATCACAGTTGAAAAAGGTAGTCCTGCTTAATATGTTGTGCTGCGTGATATATAGATATCTTTCAGTATTCTTTGATGAAGGTTAAGTTTAAAAGAACAGCATTTATTTGAAATGTAAATCTTTTAGGATACTACAAATGTCTTTACTGTCACTTTTGATCAATTTAAGGCATCCTTGCTGAATAAAAGCATTCAAATCTTACCGACTCCAAACTTCATGCTGGAGTTAAGCCGAGGGTTGTATAATGTGTCTGTTGCGTCATAACATTTTCTCGTTTCCCTTTTTGTCTGTGTTCAGCAAATTGCCAACCTGGATGAGAAAGTTTGTTCCCATGGCTTTTTATATAACAGAAACTGCCTGGAACTTCTACCCTTACACCATTACAGGTCAGCCCAAGTATTTTGTTACAATAAATACACCAGTGTTTGAATAGTAATGTGCCGTCACATGGCACATACATCCATCTTGTGTTTTTAATGCACCAGTAACCAGCTGTAACCTAACACTATTTCTCTTCTGCATACTTTTCTCCTTCTACGTCCATTGGTGTTTTACCACAGAGTACTCGGTAAGTATTCTCACATGTCAGCTCAAAATCATGCAGTTTGCTCTTGGCTCACTGACCCACTGAGCAAACAAGATAATCACTCTCCCTCTTTCTCATTTCTTTACTCCTTCCAAAAGTGTTCCTTCCTACCGAGGTTCCAAGTCAGGATCGAGACGCACTTTGAGAATGACAACGGTTGCAGTGAAAATGTGAGTGAGAGATGGCAACACACATGTATACACACACACACACACACACACACACAGACGCGTGTGTTCTTACAGGAGATAATCCTCTTAAAGGAGGGCGATTCATCAGAGGCTCACGTAGCTGCCGCGTCCTTGTAAAGGCCATTGTGCTCGTGTCCGTCTGTGAAGCACTCAGTAGTAACAGTCAGGTAAGCAGATCCAAACAGTCCACCTCACAGTGACACCGGACACCAGTGCCTTAAAAGCAGGGCCTCATAAACTGGTTTCGGTCAGACTATAGCAAAGCTATAGGGCTCTTGTATTTAAATCAACAGCGCTGTTGACGCACCTTTAGTTAACCGACGCCAATTGTTTTTTTATTGTATTTTTTAACCGGCACAGCTACAGTAGGCTACACTACCATTCAAAAGTTTGGGGTCAGTAAGATTTTTTTTTTTTTTTTTAAGAAACTGATACTTTTATTCAGAAAGGATGCATTAAAATGTTCAAAACTGACAGTAAAGACATTTTTATTTTGTTTACAATACATGTTTGTCTAAATGCTGTTATTTTGAACTTTCTATTCAAAGAATTCTGAAAAAAAGTGTATCACAGTTTCCACAAAAATATTAAGCAGCATAATTGTTCTCAACGCTGATATGATAATATTCTTTTGCGCCAATTCAGCATTATTTCTGAAGGATCATGTGACACTGAAGACTGGAGTAATGGCTGCTGAAAATTCAGCTTTGCCATGACAGCAATAAATTACATTTTAAAATATTTTTCGATAGAAAACAGTTACTTTAATTTGTAATAATATGTCACAATTATAAATGCAATCTTTGATGAGCATCTTAAAATAAACTTCTTTTAACCACATTTTTGAGAAATGTTACCGACCCCAACCATTTAAACTGTAGTGTACTCCAGAAACTTTATTTGGCTTTCTCATCTGAAATAAAATTATTTTAATAACAAATATATATGCAATTTGATTGATTTATGTTTGTAGTCTTCAAATTACATGCATAATATATCTGTACCATATCAGCTAATGGAAGATATTAAAGATTTTTTTTATATAGCCTAGTTTTGGATGATAGCCTTTTTGCCTATTTTATTGTTTTACTGTTTAATAACACTGTTAAATGTAATCTTTGGCTGATCTAAAAAGTAATATCCATTTTTCATACTGTACAATATAATTTTTGTGATGCCTAAATTCATTAAGCATATAAATTATTATTATTTTATTTTTAACTTATTTAGAAAAAAATGCAAAACAATAAAAAAAAACATTTCATTTTTATTTAAAATTATTATCATATTATACATTTTTTAAATTATTATCATCTTATCAGTATTGGCCAGAATTTTTAAATTGTGCATTCGTATTTATCGGTTTAAATAACTTCTCACTTTCTGGCTTCTTAATGGGACGATATACTGCAGAAAATTACAGTTCTCAGGAGATACAATCTCATGAGTCGCTTTGAGGTTTTTAATGAATCAATAACAACAAAACTAATAACTGCTTACTGTAGACAGTTAAAGTTTTAGCTTTCAAAAACTTTTTTTTCTACTAGCCCTCAGGTCATTTGAGACACCTAATAAAGTGAACAAGCAGACCGTATAGCTGTCAACAAACAATTAATTTAGCTGTGTTGTCATTCAGACTTTTTACTTAGTAGTTATTGAGATGAGATGAGTTATTATTACTGGTTTGCCGTGTGTTTGTTTGCCTACAGTGAATGAGAGAGAGAGAGAGAGAGAGAGAGAGAGAGAGAGAGAGAGAGAGAGAGAGAGAGAGAGAGAGAGAGAGAGAGAGAGAGAGAGAGAGAGAGAGAGAGAGAGAGAGAGAGAGAGAGAGAGAGAGAGAGAGAGAGAGAGAGAGAGAGAGAGAGATAGAGATAGAGATAGAGATAGAGATAGAGATAGAGAGAGGCCCCGTTGTGCCCCGGAGTGCTCTCTGTTATTAAGAAACGAAAAATAAGAATTAAACAAGATCCAACCTGCCACAAAGAAACTCAGAGATTTATGAGTATCTGCCTGTGAGAAAGAAAGAGCGAGGGAGATGGCGGGGAGAGCTTTGTTACTGATACTTCATAAATGATATAATTTCCTCCAACTCATCCAACTTTCTCTCCGCATACCAGCAGACACACTCCCTCATTCACATACACATGACTTAAAGGGATAGTTCACCCCCAAATTTTTATTCTGTCATTTTCTCACCCTTAAGTTGTTCCAAACCTTAACCTCCAAATGAACACCAATACAAGCACAAGTTCCACAACTCCAGCACAGTCAAACAAATCAAAATAATACTGGTGCAAGTGTCAACACATCAGACAAGAGGAACAGTAAACAGCTTTCCTCACGAGGAGACAGAGATAAAAAAGACAAAGAGAGAGGAGAGAACCGTAGAGGGAAAAGAGCAGGGGTTTGTTAAAACATCACCTGCATTGTTTTTAACCCATAAACAACTTTTTTTTTTTTTAAACGAAAAAGGTTTTGAAGCAGCGAGCCCACAAAAGAAAGATCAGAACACCACTTATTATCTTAATTGCTTATTTTTCATTCATTGTCTTCTCTTAGATTCCAGCGGGTGCAAAAAGCACAGTCAAGGCAGCACTCCTTTAAGTGAAGACTTGTTATCTGGTTTACTCCTCCACTGGCCTGCAGTAGTGTGCATAATTCAGTACTTCTGCCTATAGTAGGCTTGATTTTGCACTCTTTGTTTCCATGTTTTTTGCATTAATTCAGTCTCTGCCTACGCCCTACGGCCTTTCTGTTATATAGTGTGTCAAGGTTCTGTAATGGACTACAGAATGTTTAACCGATTGCATTGCAATGTGTGGTATTTTATATCAAGATTGCTCTGAGCAATGCTGAGCACTGAAACAGCTTCCCTTTGTCTTCAAACAGATGCAGACGTTGGTGCACTTGTATTCTTCTATGTTTAGACAACTTTAAGTTACACTGTCATATTTCACTTGGGCATTGCTGGAATAAGAAAGCAGTGTTTTCTTTGATATATTGTTGGATTTGTCTGATGTTGTCTGATGTCTCCTGCGCAGGTGTTTGGTGATGACCCAACTCCAAAGGACACAGTCTGCTTTTTGGATATTTTGAGCGATCCAATCCCTGATAAGCATTACAAGTCGTCGGAGGTACATATACATTTATATATGCACAAATACATGGCAAAACTAAATCAGGGGTGGGTAAAAATTAAGATTTTATGAGTGGGCTCATTTTCAATTCACGAGTTGGAATGTGAATTGAATTGGCCACACGTCTTCGAATGCTAAAATTGGGATTTGAATTGGGAACGTCAGGAAGAGAAATGTATAGACCAGCAGTCTACATAAGAGGAAATTCAATAGTCTAACACAAGTTTCGTCAAAACATAAATAAATCATTAATTTTGACTAATTATGCCCATTTATCTCCTGATATCTAGGCTGAAAAAATCTCAGCTCATTAGACTAAACTGAGTCTAAACTGAGTGCCGTCAAGTTAACACAAACATCAAAACAGATTTGACATAAGGGGGGTTTTTTATGCAAAAGTCCCCCCAAATATAATGATCCCCTTGAGAGAGACCCCTTCCTAAAATATAACGTCATTTATTTGTATATATAAAGAGCAATTTATACTTTTTAAAGAAAAATATTAAAGGGGACTTTATAAAGACAACAGAAAGGCAGAATCAAACAGTAAAATTTTGAAGTTTGTAAATCCCTGCCATACAGCACCACTATTTTTAGCCACATTGTTTTCATAAAACAACTATTTAAATCATTTAATATATTGAGAAAACCTGACAATTCTGTGAAATGAAATGTTCTTCCACCATGACATGATAATTAATGATTAATGTCTATACGTGGCATTTCAAATATTGATCGTTGATATGTTGGGTGTATGATAACAGTGTAATTCATACCGAACAATGTTATTATTAAAAGCAACACTTACAGTAGATTGCTTGTTCTTCCTTAACTTTGAATCTTATGTATCATCTGTATCTATAACTCTGACACAGAAATAAATAACCATCCAGTCTACTGTGTTCTCTATAGGTCTTTGCACCCTTATAGCAGTGCAAATGTCTTCAAAGCTAGTATTTAAATGACACAACAGAGACTAACACAGCTCTACATAAGTATGTGTGCACTCCACACAAGTGCAGAAACAAAAACCTCAAGACAAACATTACATAAAAACCACATTCGTCAGTGTGCTCTACTTAGAGACAGTTTATCGGAATCTGCTGCTTTTTCAGTGGACAAACAATACATCAGAGGAAAGCATGTTTCCATGTTCTCTCAGATTCAGTCAGATCCATAGCTGTCATATGCCAAGTTAGGAATAAGACAAATCCAAGGATTACCACAAAAAACAACAGACAAAATTAGTATATTAGTTCTACAGACAAGGGACCAAAACTTTAAAATACAGATGGGTGAATCAATAATTCAATTATATTAAATTGTATTATATTATATTATTACAAGTAGTAGTACTAATTATGTTCTGTAATTGTCAATTACTGTAATAAATGAACGAAAACAGAGCCTGATATTCTACAGTTTATGCCATAATCATTGTTAATGATGGCTTTCAAATACAATGTTAGATGAATTTAATTCCATTTTATCCTCAGAAATCACAAAAAGCTTTCCATTTAATGGAGGTTATATTGGCTATAAAACTTTTTTTTACAGCTAAAAGTAAAGTAAATTGTTTGATAATTGTTGTGTTATGACAGTAACAGAGTTGAATGGTTGAGCTTGATGAATGCGATCAACACTACAATATGTGGAAACAATGTGAAAACGGAATGAGATGAATTTACTTGTCATGCTTTAAAAGTGTCCAAATGATGTTACTTCTTGAGTGGTATTGTTAAGCAAAACAAATGTGGGACACAGCTAAATGTATTTTTTTTGCTCATCAAAACTGCTTTTATGACAATTAACTGAACATCATTTCAACAGATTATGTAAAAATGATAAAGATTTTTATTGTTAGACAACAGACGAGCCAAAATCGCTCATATTACGCAGGGCTGAACCCAAAATGTTATGTTTAGCACTAACTACTTTTCATGCTATGTTAATTTTATGTTAGATAATCATTTATCAAACATATATAATAGGTCACACAACAAAAAGCATGGAATTTGTGCCTCTAATGCTTTAAAAATGGGACACCACATGACCAACTGTGAAAAGTAATGTCACCCCTGCACAGTGATTCATGCACAGCATGCAACACACACACTCTCACACACACACTCAAACACACACACAAGAACAAGCAATAATCTGCTTACTCAGCAGGTAATGTGTATCTACTTAAAACAAACAGGATCTGAGACACTGGGTGTCAGAGCAAACAGGCCGGGGACCCCTAGTGGATGACTGGAGGAACTCCACTACACCCATCATGTGCTCCTACAAAAGAGTCACCTGTAGCTTTGAGGTCTACGGCTTCCAGGGAAGAACAGAGGAATTCATTCACAGGGTACTGACCGTTATGTCCCATGCATTACATCATGCTCTTATTCATGTAATCCCATCATGTGTCATATTGCGGCATGTTATGATTCATCATAGAACATTCGTGACATTCTGTTGGTGGGACACAGACAGGCGGTGGCATGGATTGACGAGTGGCATGGTAAATGAGACGTATTGTAATGCTTCATTACCATAATTTATCGCATGCTCTGTTCATTACCATAATTTATCACATGCTCTGTTAAGTACACACGAGAATCCTGATCCCTCACTTGGCACTCAAATGCTGCATGTCATCCGTCTTAATTCTTCGCAAATACTGGCGTGTTATACCGACGTATAACAAATATTTGCGTACTATGCAGGAATGACGATCGAGCAGGTGAGAGAGTACGAGAGAAAACAGCAGGAGGAAACCAACTGCCAACTCAAGAGTGACATTACCTCCACAGGTAGAGGAAAAAGCAAGAAAAATGCTGAGATTATATTATCAGAATAAGAATTCATCAATATCAGAATAAGAATCAATCAATATCACAAATTTGCTTAATGATTAGTGACCTAGAAATAGTGCCGAACCATACATTTATTTTCATTATAACATTTCTAGATTTAGAGTTTGAATAGATTTTCATTGTAAACTCTGTCATCTCTCACTGCCCTCTATTGGTGAATGTTTCACACTGCATCACAGCTGTTACAGTTTAGTCAGCACAGTGATGCAACTTCACAATTAACATGGAAGTCATCATGACTCATCTAACAAAACTGTTGCAACATGATCCGATAAATCAGAAGCATTTGTGAGAAAAACTGATTCTCTTGTCTGCTTTTCAGACTCTGCTCCTCCAAAGAGACCCAGCTACACTCGCTCCATCTCTGTTACGGATGAATCGTCACTGAAAAAGTTGGGGGTAAAGACTGAAGACATGCCAGACTCTTCATCCAGCCCTTCCTCCGTCAAAAGTCCCTTGAGATTAAACTCTACCCCGGAATAATACCCACAAGAACCACACCAGTACCACTTCTTGAAACATTTGCCAAAATTCTCTCAACTTGGACTTTTTCTTCTAACCAAAACTGAGAAAGACATTCCACATTGTCACTCTCTGCTTTCCATTCCTTGTATGCTTGTGTTCATGCAGAGGTCGACATTAACAAAACATCTTTCTAAAGAATTTGAGATATACTATGTAAAAGACTCTGGCTCTCCATGGAGTGAAACCATAATGCCTTAATTCACTTTTCTCATAGACAAGCCAACATCATCAAAATGGATTCAACAAACAGTCTATTCCACTGCCAAAAGAACAAGGGACAACAGACCCACCTGAGCACAGAATGGAAATGAAAAGCCTCTATTGATATAATAATCAAATCAGTAGACCGGTTCAGTGAAACCCAATCGTATGGATTCTGGTGATTGTGAGCAACTAGCCGAAATTTCTAGTGGGTTACGGGTTATTGAGACTAACCTTTGACCCTGTATCAATACATTGAAGGAACGCAATTGATTGTTTAGTCGCGCAGCACATAGTAAGAACATTATCAATAGTACTTTTAGTGAGAAGATTGAAGACTACAATGGACTGAACATTATCTGTTATTTGACACTTATCACACTGGTCATTTGATACATGCCACTGGTGATATTCTGTGTTTGTCTCTGGTTATTCAAAATTAAAGGGGACCTATTATGCAAAATGGTGTTTGAACATAAATATGTATAGGAAGTGTGTGTAGCCCAAACACCCTATAATGGTAAAAATCCATCCCCTCCTTTTTTTTTTATCAATCAAATGCAGTGAGTGATTTTCCGTTTTTATTTTGTTGTTTGATACATATTAACAGCATTTATAACAGTAGGTATTACACTGTTTTCACTTTAATACACAGATCTAATATACACACGTGATTTCTTTACTTGCTGTTTACGTTCACAGACATTACTGACTGTATGTGACACAAACTTGTGACAAATGCTGATAAACCTTGAGAGTTTAGGCACAATAGAGAATTTAATTTAATACTCACGCGGTGCGCCATTTGACAGCCAGCTTTCTGTGTGTGTGCTTTGGATGTGTGCACTTAGAAAACCATATATCAGAAGTTTAGACTGATATGGGTTTAAAACACATGCCTATAAAACCTTCATGATGATGAAGAATTGCGATGTCCCATGAGCGTGACCACGATTAAGATGATAATCAAAACCAAACAGATGTTTTAGTTTTTGGCAGAATAGGCCTATTCGATGCTCTCGCCCTCTCACTGAAAGCATGCAGGGTGGGGAGCAGCAGCTCATTTGCATTTAAAGATGCATGAAAACAGCTTGTTTTTCCTTCCACTCAAAAATGCATTTACAACATTGTATAAATAATCTGTGGGGTATCTTGAGCTGAGACTTCACAGACAAATTCTGGGGGCACCTTAGACTTATATTACATCTTGTAAGAAGGGGCATAATAGTTTCTGCCATTGGTTGAACAAACAAGTAACCCCACCCATTGGTAAAGCCAATGTTGCTATGTCAAGCAGCTCAAATTAAAGGATGAATGTTGAAAGGGTCACATCATCACATTTTTTTAAATAATACAATTACTAAAGGACGCATGATACATCTGTACCACACTGCTTATCGGCCAAGATTAGAGTTTTTATTTTTTTTATTTATCAGTATCTGCAGATATTAGGGGTGTAACGATACCCTCATGTCACGATTCGATACATATCACGATACTGAACTCACGATACGATGTTATTGCGATACTCCAAGACATATGATAAAATGTACTGTTGATTAAAACAAGACTTGGTGCTTGTAACCCAAAGACAATGACACCAGAATAAAAATATTCATGATTCTGAAGCTGAAAATACAGAATTATTTTAGACGAATATGCTTGCACTCTGTCACTGACTAGATATATTTAAAATAATGTATAGGCCACTTTTTACTGGTAACATAAGACATTTGGCATTATCAGGACCCACAAATATTCCCCCATTGCATTATTATACATTATAATCAACATTATGTATAGTAGTTTAATGTAGTACTGACACTAAAACTCAGAAAAAATTGAATTTATTTCTCACACAGTAATTTTTTTATTTTGGGGGAACTATCCACGATACGTATTGTCACTATCCACGATACGTATTGTTGCATTTTTGTATTCCGATATATTGTGGCACGATATATTGTTACACCCCTAGCAGATATTGGACATTTCATTCATTTGATCTATTTTTACATTCAGATCATCTCTGCCATCATCTAGGCTATTCGCTTTAAAAACTTTAAAAACGAACAATTTAGTAACACTGTGAAATATAATTCTGCAACTTTGGCAAATCTCAAAATGATAAGTCTCTTATCCTCACCAAGGCAGCATTTATTTGATTATAAGTATTATAATTTTATTATGTTTAAAAATATAAAGCAATGGCAAAGCAGTCATTACTCCAGTCTTCTGAAATCATTCTAATATGATGTTTCAGGAAACATTTCTTATTATTATCAAAGTTAAAAACAGTTTTTACATTTTTCTCTGGAAACAGTGAACCATTTTTTAGGGATCTTCGATGCATAGGAAAAAAAAACAAAAAAAAACATAATTTATTTAAAATAGAAATCTTTTGTAACATTATACTTGCTAATAATTCCTCACTTCTTGATGAGAGGCATGTTGTAAGCTTTAAGCGTTCTAGAAACTGCATTTTTGCTGTCATCGGTACATTCACTTTTTCTCATCACATTTAATTGCAAAGATCCTTGCTGCTGCTTCCTCCTGTGGCAATTGCTGTATTCATTCATAACTAGCGTTTTATTTCCTTCTTTTTATCTCTCTGACGAAGGGATGTGGAAGGCAAAGATTGAATCCATGGTTCCTGAAGTTCCCTTGTAGCGCTCAAAGAACTCCAGGCTGTTCTGTTACAGCTCTGGCTCTCTCTTTCTTTCAATTTCTCAGTATCTGCATTCTCTCTCATCCTTTCCTTGCTGCCCCTCCTTCACATCCCAATTTATATCGCTCTCAAGAGAGCATTTCTGATGTATAAATTTCATTAGAAGAAAGCTTCTAAGGCAGTACCACTGCAGGCAGATTAAAAGATCAGTTCAGAATAGAATAAACAGACCAATGAAATAAAATGCTTTAAATCGTAGGACCTACACAATATTCATGTAATTTAAGCGCTAGCTACTAATATTGTGCATGAGTCCATTTGTATGGACCTCTTTGTTATTATATGTGGGGGGTTTCCGTCATTTTAAAGCCAGACAGCCTCCAATCCTCATCCACTTTCTTTCATTCTATCAAACAGATACTATTTTCAATATTCATCAGAAATTCACCTTTTGTGTCACAAAGTAAATAGTATCTACTACACCATATCTAGAATGAATGTCATTATATCTGACAGCCCATATTATCTCGAAGTGATAAACCGCATTGAAATACAGAACATCCATCTGCTCTGTGTTTCACAACCATTAAATGTCAACAGATAATTCATATTTAACATTAGACTTACCTGAGAAAGATAACATCACTCATTTTCTCAACAGAATTCACTGTAACTGCAAACTGGATCTCACAGAGCAGAGCTGCTTAAAAGACAGACTGACCCAAGCCCTGTGAACTAACCCAGATACTGATGCATTTATTGTCTGTCTCTAATCATTATTATCATAAAAACGTATAGGTGGGTTGAAAAGATCTCGAGGGTAATTTATGAGCAGTAATTATATTGCTGGAGCCACCCCTAGCTGACACACACAGGCACACACACGGGCACAAGCTAATGTAGAGAGTTACACATGCATGCACATACTCCCCCAAGAGGGTGGGAATGTTTGGGAGGCATTCATTGAAATTCAGTCCCTAAACATAGCAATCAGCACAACCATAAAGGACCCAAATTTAATTGGCCCACCCAGCCCATTAATTACATAGCCAGAACTGCACTACAACACAGCATATGTTGCCTAATAAAGCCCAATGGATCTTAATAGAGATGTATTATTGATTCACAAAGGTGGAATTACACTTTTCCATATAAGCAGAGAACCTAAAAGCACACATTGCGATAATTATATACTCTCACACACACATACAGATACACCCTGAGTGTTGTCATGGACACAAACAAGGGTAGAAAATAAAATAGTTAGTATGGTCATTATATGGACATTATGTGAATGCACACACACAAAAACACGCAGGGCGTGACATACAAGGGTCATCGTATGTCATTACATAATGAGACTTCACCAACAAGCAGCCAAAAAAGCCTCTCCACCCTAAACATGTCCATAATAGTAATGAGATCCTATTCAGGAAACCAGGACATCTTCACAATTCTCATCCGATTCCTCAGCACTTAGCTTCTATTAAAACATCAGATAGCCACAAGCAAACGTTGCAATTCTGCCTATTACTTACTTTTTTCCTATCTCATTTCTTATCTATCCTTTCTCTTACCTCATTCCTTTTCACACTTATTTTAATTTCCTTTTTATTTGTCACAGACAGACAGACGGGGATAGATAGATAGATAGATAGATAGATAGATAGATAGATAGATAGATAGATAGATAGATAGATAGATAGATAGATAGATAGATAGATAGATAGATAGATAGATAGATAGATAGATAGATAGATAGATAGATAGATAGATAGATAGATAGATAGATAGATAGATAGATAGATAGATAGGATAAGATAGATACGCACGCACACTAGGCCGCACAATAGCTAAGTAATTTGCTCAAAAACATGTAATATTTAACAAAGGGTCATTGCACACTTGAGTAGCTACTATTAATAGTCTAAACAAACAAATGATGCAATCGCTACATCGTCAAAGCTTTAAACCCCCAGTACTTCTCATTTAATCTTGTGAATAAAGAGCTGCAGTTCAATTATACTAGCCTACACCAGTTTGCATGATGGACCTACCTTAGGAATGCTGTCGAACCTTTTTCCTAAACTCCATAAGGACGTATATGGGTAATTTCTTGAAGCACTTGAGAGGTTTGACATCACTAATCAATATCAATTATTCATGAATAAATAATTAAAAGGGCTGGAAGCATTAGCCGTTTTAGAACTTCCGCCAAAACGCAGACGCTGAATTAGACACGCCCACTTTTCCCAAGACCCCGCCCTTAAAATACCTGCGAAATCGTTGACAGCGATTAAAACGATTAAACCCGCTGGGGGCCGCAGGAAACTCTCATCGAAAATTTGTCCGGTTGCCATGTCCCTGCAAATCCTTGTGACTTGTGAGTGTGAACCGGTGTGAACCAATGCTTCCTGCTGCCCAATGAACGTGACCGTGAACGTTTTTTTTTTTTTTTACTTAAATAGAGGTTTTTTTAACAGTGACCGTGAACGTACAATGTTTGACAGGCAGCGCGGCTATTGGTATCATGCAAATTATATATTTTTTATTTGTTTATTTTATTTATTTTATTACTTTTTTGCAGTTTACAGATATGGAGGACCAATCTTGCATAAATTGTAAATAATTAAATACATAGATAAATAAATAAATGGAATAATAGGGAAATTAATAAAGCAAATTTCCGACCTCACTTATGTGAACTCAACCAATGATGCACTGGACCGCCTCCCTCATTTACATGTTGTACACAGAAAAGTAAAATAAATAAATCTGTAAAAAAAAATAAAAAA